CTCTCCTGCCTGCAAATACGCTCCAACCTCCTAGCAATCTCCATAACCTAATGGAATGGAGTCTAAGTCTCTAACTCCCGTGCCATTCCAAACCTGAGGCTATAGACGAGCCCCTCAATAAATCTACGGACTCTCTCATGGAAACCAAGGCAGGTGCTTGACGAGACAACTCTATAAACCTCATAGTATACTCGGACAGAGTCATACCACTCTAGCGCAACTTCTCAAACTCGTTGTGTTCCAACAGATCCCTATGGGTCTGTGGAATAAACTCTCTCAATAAAAGATCAGAGAACTGGGAACAAGTAGGTGGTGTTGTGCCAGCTGTTCTGCTCGCCTCATAAGTCTGCCACCATCTATATGCCGACCTTGCTAGCTAAGTAGTAGTAAGGTCGACCCCGCTCGACTCCACCAAACCCATAATAAGTAAAATGCAGTGACACTGATCCAAGAAACCTTGTGCATCCTTAGAAGCCCCACCACTTAAATGAGGAGGATGATACTTCTGAAACCTCTCTAACCTCTTCTGCTCCTCAACCGACGCAACTGGCCCGACCTCAGGCTGAATTATAATCATGGGCTCCACCGGTATAGCACCCGAAGCCTGATCAACATGAGCCCGCTGCTCCAGAGTATGTGTAGCGGCAGTCTGGACTCCTCCCCCAACCTGTGAAGTAGCTGGTGCAACCGGAATCAACCTTGCCTGAGCCAAAATCTCGAACATGCTCAGAAAGTGTGCCAAGGTCTCCTGAAGTCCAGGAGAAGCAACAAGCCCCTAAGGTACCTGCTCCCCAACTGGAGCTAACGGTGGCTCCTCAGTCGCGGCCCTAACATGTTCCCTCGTTGTGGTGCGTGCTCTGCCGATGCCTCTACCCCAACCTCTAGCAATACTAGCCCTAGTGGCAACATCATCAGTAACTGAAGCTCGTGTCCTCACCATCTGTGACAGAATAGAAAGACAAAGGCTCAAACTCCGAAACCAATACATCTGCACGATAAGGAATGAAAGAAGTGAATTTTTTCCTAATAGTTTTGTAGCTTTTCGAAGATAAGTACAAACGTCTCTGTACTGATCCACAAGACTACTAAACTTGCTCGTGACTCATAGAACCTATGAACCTAGAGCTCTAATACCAACTTGTCATGACCCAAATCCCACCATAGGGGTTATGATAGCACCTAGTCTCTAAAACTATGTAAGTCGATCACTTATCAACAATTAATTCAACAAAACATGATATGATAAAATAGAGTTTAACATAAATGTAGAAATAGAGGTAATACAAGCCAAAGTCGCGATAATCATAACATCTCCCCAGAACTAGGTAGTATAGATTCACAAGATTGAACTGAATACATAAGAACATCTCAAAATACAATATTGTTCAGATATAAAAATGACAGTATCAATGCAAAGATAAGACTCCAAGGCACTGCGACGGTCAATGTAGCACTACCTTGAATCCTTGTGGTCGATGAAGCTTTCACTGCCTATATCTGCTACCTCCAATACCTGGATTTGCACAAAATATGCAGAAGTATAGTATGAGTATACCACGGTCGGTACCCAGTAAGTATCAAGATTAACCTCGGTAAAGTAGTGACGAGGTTCAAGTCATATGATACCCATTAGTCAAAGTAACTTGTGCAATAAATCAAAGTCTGGCAACAAAAAGTATAACAAAAACAATAACAATACTCTCATTGGAACAAGTGATAACAGCTTAATGCAAGAAAATGGCTCATCCTTAACAACAAGATATTAAATAAAAATACACACATGTGGCACCTCATACCCACATTATCAGTCACACTCACACGGCAAAGACCTCGTGATACAGTACCAATCACACTCGCAGGGCAAAGACCTCGTGCTAATATCACTTACACTTGCATGACAAAGACCTCGTGCTCACATGCCAAAGACCTCGTGCGACAATATAATCACACTCGCACGATAATGACCTCGTGCTTGCACAGCAAAGACCTTGTGCTTGCACGAAAAAGACCTCGTGCCACAATATAATCACACTCGCACCACAAAGACCTCGTTCTACAATATAATCACACTCGCACAACAAAGACCTTGTGCTCACATGGAAAAGACCTCGTGTCATAATATAATCACACTAGCATGGCAAAGACCTCATGCCAATACACAAATAATTAACTCAACATGTCCACATGTGCCACAAAATCACAAGCAATAATGCCAAAGTTTTTATCAGGGATATGAGTTCATAATTTATCATTAAAGTGCACATGGACATGAAATAGTAAAATGCGAGATGGGTATTTAACAAATAAGGCATTACTACGGCTAAAAACAAGTGTAGTGATCATGTCCACATAGCCACAAAGTGATTAAGGATGGTTCATATATAATACATCCTCAAATTAAGGCATATTAATAGCCTAAGGTCTATTCCGGTCACAAATCACACATAGCACATGTGTACACGCTCGATCGTGTACACGTCGCTTTTCACATAACACAAATAAGCAATTACGGCCAAATCCTAAGGGGTATTCCCCCCCCCCCCACACACAAGGTTAGGAAAGATACTTACCTCAATAAGCCAAATCAATACTCTAAAAAGCCCTTTCCTCTCAACTCAGCCTCCGAACGGGTCAAATTTAGCAAAAATGACTCAATAATATCAAACACGGCTAACGAAATCAATTCTTATTTATATAGCTCCTATCTTTATCAAAAATCAAAAAGTAAACCAAAAAGTCAACCTGGGCCCACCTCCTGAAACCCGACAAATATCCATAATCCCAAATACTCTTTCGAATACGAGTCCAATCATACACGTTTCATCCAAATCCGACTCTGAATTAGGGTTCATATCCTTATTTTTCATTTTAGAAAAGTTTTGCCAAAATCCCTAATTTTGTCCTCACTTAGATTCATAAATCAAATGCTAAAATCAAGGATGGAATCATGAATAATAATCAAATCCGAGTCAAGAACACTTACCCCAATCCAAATCGTGAAAATCTGTTCTAAAATCGCCCAAAACCGAGCTCCCAATCTCAAAATATGATGAAATAACTCAAACCCTCGTAATAGAGTACTTAAAATATCTGCCCAGTTTTACACTTCGTGGTCATGAAGGCGAAACTCTTGCCCAGATACTGCCCCTTCTACGCAAACGCGAAGACCTTCTGTGAATACGATGCCTTCCACCTGATGAGCCTACGTGAACGCGATGGTCAAATGCTTGCCACCACCCAGCCGAACTTCCTCTACGTGAACGCGACACCCATATCGCGAACGTGAAGGACACTGCCTACCATTCTCTGCGAACGCGACACCCCCATCGCGAACACGATCAGAAAACATCACTAGTCACCAAAACACACTCCATGATTGCGATACCTCATCCGTGATCGTGATGAAAACTAGAACATCAGAAAATCAGTTGTTCCAATACAAGGGAAAATGGTCCAAACCCCATCCGGAACACATCCGAGTCCCTTAGGACCCTGTCAAATCATACCAACCAATCCCAAAACATAACATAGATCTACTCGAGGCCTCAATTCAAACCTAATGAACTAATCCAAATGTCCGAATTCCAAACTTACTCCGAACATGACTAAATAACTCGGAATGACCCTAAAATTTATATACAAGTTATAAATCACCATGAATAATGTTAGAAGTTCCCCAAAGAAAAGGCTAGCACCTCATTCTCCGTACAAAGGAATTTCAGGCGAACTTACAAACCCTTCTACGTCTTGTTGAAATGGTCGCTACCCTGCCGTTCGGTGGTGGTAAGCCACCGGACAAAGCCATAAACATGTGCAATCCTACTGATAACACAACAATCACTAGTTCCCCAGCTACTAAAGTTATCAAAGATGGTGGAAAAAAGCTGTAGCAAATAATCGACTGGGATCCGACGAAAACTCCCAACTTGTGACTGGGCCAAACCAGATATCTTCAAGACATGGAGAGTCTTCCCCAACTCAAACACAGACAACCAAACAGATATTCGGGAAAAATTTCTTTGGCTATGAGGAGTTGTTGTTTCGACATATGATTGGGAATGAAGCCATGGTGTCAAGTCCGGCACAGGAAAGGAATCTCAACATGCAAGAGCACACAACTGCTCTATGTGCTCGAGGTAATGCCACAACCAATTCTCCCACCCAAGTGGGGGCATAAGGTGAATTCCTATCTCCTCTAAGCCTACCGGAATTTAATTCTCAACTTGCAAACCAAATACCTCATAAGGCTATGCACCAGCCATCCTCATCAACTGAACCATAAAATGCGAGTATAAGTTCTAAAGCCATTATCCCTACTACTAACCTAGCTGCTGAGAATTTTCCTTCTAAGGTTAAGGAATCATCTAATTCAACTCATATACAAACTGACGATACCCTCTAAAATCAACAAGCAAACAATACTACACAGCACCTTCCCACAAATCCAGAACAACCCAATACCACAAGAACTACCTCCCAAAAATATCCTCCAACTTTGATAAGCCTGAGCAATCTAAGCACTCCAACCAACACCTGGTACCAAAGAAAACTTCTAATATCACAAACACCAATACACAACCATGAGAAACCAACCCCAAAACCAAACAACCAACTGTCAACCAACCTTACCCCCTCTACCACCCAAAATCAAACACTCTTATGTTAACAAATTGAGGGTAAGATATGAGGCTGAGGTAGAACCAATTGAATTCACTCCGCCTAAGATCACTACCAAGCAAGGACAGCCTGCTGTAATTTTTACCAGGGAAGATTACATGGTAAAATTGGCTGCAAGGTGCAAATATATTGTGGTGGGCAAATTTTCCAACACTATGCCTAGAATGGAGGCCATCGAGAGAAGATTTATGTCACAAACTGAATTAAATGGAGGTGTTAAAATTGCTCACTTCAATGTCAGGACTGTTTATCTTGATCTAGATAATGAATATGATCATATCACTATTTGGACAAGACAATTCGTGTACATTTAGGGGCAAATCATGAAGCTGGAAGCTTGGACACCTACATTAAACCTTGATGAAGACTCTCCAATTGTGCCAATATGGGTAGTCATTCCAGAATTGCCTTGGCATTTTTACTACATGAAAATTCTAAGAGGGATCCTATCTCCTATTGGAAAGGCACTTCACTTGGATATGGCATCTTTTCAAAAGACAAGGGGCAGTGTGGCAAAAGTCAAAATGCAAAAGACCAAACCAAGACCCCATCATATCTGGTTAGGATTTGATGAAAAACATGATGAAAATGGAGATGGACGGTGGCTAGATGTCCAGTATGAAAACATACCTGAGTACACCTCATACTGCAAAGACCTTGCTCATAAAATACAAACTTGTCCAGTCAGACAAAAGGATAAGAAAAATAAAAAGAAGAAAAACAATCCAAAAGTCAACAAGGAAATACCTGATCAGCAAAATATCTCTGAAAATCAACCAAAGGTGCAGAATCAACAAATTCAAAAAGGGAAACACAACAAAGAAGGTAAAGACAACAATGTTCGAAACCACCAAAATAGTAAGAAGCACCAAACCACAGGGCCCAACCCTTTAAATGATGAATGGCAAACACAGAGGAAGAGACACTTCAAAGGGTACAATCAACAAAATAACAAGAAGTAGAACTATCATCCTAGATAAAAACAAAATCCTAAACAATAGGTGTGAAGGGCAAGCAATCAACAGGAAAGCAACAAGAACGAAGAGAAAACTAACGCCCAATGTGTAGATGCAGTCAGTGCAAATCAAACTCATGTTGAGAAGAGTGCAAGTACTATCTGTCAAGAGCTACCCCAACCAGACTCTCTAGAGATATCTCAACCACAAAAAGTCAGTCCCAAAGAAGATGAAGCAGATGGCACCAAACAATAGAATACTGAATATGACACAGAGGAAGAATACTGTGATATAGTGACATCTGAACAGGAGGACCAGCCCAGTGACATGACAAAACTGATTAAAGTTAAAGATCATGTAGCTTCTGATTTTCTTAATTCAGCCTCCCAAACCTAAGCAGAAGCCAAGCCAGAAAAAAAAGGAGGGCAATGAAAAGGAAGGGTACCAACACCATTCAACACAGTGCTGATAGTGACAACAATGTTACCTTACCTAAAGAACAGCCTCAGAACCCAGGCAAGATACCAAGATTTGAAGCTGAAAATACGAGCAGAGCTGAAGGCTACAGGGACAAAGGGATTGATAATCCCTCATTGCAACCACTTGTGAACAAAAGAAGAAACTTGGAAGAAAAGGGAGCAGCTAGTTCTTGTGAAGCACAGCATCAGTAGCCCAACCTCCCTACAGATATGATTGATGGAATTCTTCCACTTAATAGCTTACCTCATGTAAGTCTAGAGGAAGATGAATACATGCCCATACGGTCAGAAGATGACAACCAAGGGGATCCAAAAGAAGACTTTGAAGAATTCAGAGGAGGATCTGATGATGAACAACATTGTAATCTTCTAGTGGCATCTATAAATGGTGTTCCTGGGAAAGGAAAAGCCAAAGCTACACCACCAACATCCTCAAAAGTCAGAAATACACCCATATTGACCAGAAGCAAAGTTGCAACCAACAATACTATCCCACCAAAATCCAAAAAAAAAACCCATCAGTTTTACATGATTAGTACAATCATTTAGAATGCAAGAGGAATCAGATCCTTTAGAGCCATTGAAAGGCTCAAAACTCATAAATAAATTTACAAACTCTCTTTCATTGCTATCTTAGAACCTTTCCTTGATATCAGATACCTCACTTACTTCAGACATCACCTATCCATGCATCATGCAACTTCCAATGTCAATAGCAAAATATGGTTATTCTGGGATCAAGACTTCAGTGGCAATGTCTTAGATCAAGATGAACAACAAATGTCTATTGAATTGAGGCATGCTGAAGTAGGGAGGCATTCCATAACACTGTTATCTATGCAAAATGCAAACCTCACTTGAGAAGAAGTCTATGGGAAACTCTGAGATTCAAATCTACAAGGTGCAATGTTCCCTGGTGTATTATTGGGGATATCAATGCCATTGCTTCTGTTAAAGAGAAGATTGGAGAAATCCCATACCATTTGAACAAAAATTTGGACTTCCTCACTATGATAGAAGACTGTGGGCTCACAGACCTTGGCTACTATGGACCAAGACATACATGGTCCTATAAAAGGGGGCCCTGCTCCATTGTCTAGAAAAGGTTGGATAAATGTCTTGTAAATGATAAACGGCTTACTCTATTCCCAGCCACAACTGTTACTCATCTAGACTTTGTTGGATTAGATCACTCCCCATTACACATGGAGATGCATGTGAGACAAGAAACAGGAAAAAGATACTTTAAATTCCCCAACTGTTTGGTCGAAAATGATACATTCATGCCTCTGATCCACAGAGTTTGGAACATGAATGTCAATGGTAGTGCAATACGGATTTATCATTAGAAATTAAAGGTTGTCACTAAGGCCCTGAGTCTATGGTATAAGGAACAATATGGTGGTATCTTCCAAAAACCTAAAGAGTTTGAGCAGAAAGTCAAGGAAGCTGAGGAGAAATGGATCAATACTAACAATCCAATTGATAGGATTAACATACAGGAGCTTTAGGCCCAATATGTAAGGTCCTAAAAATTGAAGAAGCAGTTTTGAAATAGAAGACTCAACTTCAATGGCTTAAAGAGGGTGATGCAAATACCAGATACTTTCACAGCCTTATTGGAGAAAGAAGAAGGAGACTGTACATCCACAAAATCAAAGATGAAGATGGAGATTGGATATAAGGAGAGGAAGACATTGGTGAAGCAGCTTGCAACTATTTTGAAGACTTATTCATTGAAACAGGGGGCGTAACCAGACAGGACCTCCTCTCTCATATTCCAGCCATGATAACATCCGAGGATAATACTAATCTAACAAGAGATCCTACTCTGCAAGAACTCAAGGAGGTGGTTTTCTCTGTGAGTGCCAACAGTGCAACTGGTCCTAATGGGATAAATGGTAAATTCTTCCAGTCCTGTTGGGACATTATCAGTACAGATCTCCTAAATATAGTTTTGGCTTTTTTGGGGGGTAGTACCATGCCTAGGTATATGACTAATTCTTGCTTGATACTCTTGGCTAAAGTGGAATTCCCCAACTCCTTGATTGAATTCAGACCCATCAGTCTGAGTAATTTCATCAACAAGATTATTTCAAAAGTCATTTCCACCAGACTTGCACCTATCTTGCCAAGAATTATCTTAGCTAATCAGACAGGATTTGTCAAGGGCAAAAGCATCTAAGAGAATATCTTGTTTGCTTAAGAAATTTTACAAGGGAACAAGAAGCCAAATACTGGGGCCAATGTAGTGATTAAACTGGACATGGCTAAGGCATATGAAAGAGTCCCATGGGCTTATACATACATCACTTTGATAAGGATGGGATTCTATGAGAAGATTATAGACATGATATGAAGAACTATGTCCAACAACTTGTATTCCGTCATTGTAAATGGTACCAGACATGGTTTTTTCAAATCAACTAGGGGGCTCAAATAGGTTAATCCTCTTGCAGTTGCTCTCTTCATCATTGGAACAGAACTGCTTTCCAAAATGCTTAACAACCTCAATCAGGATCAAGTTTTCAAAGATTTTTACATGGAAATGAGGGGTCCACAGATGAACCACCTAAGCTTTGCTGATGATATTATCATATCCACCTCAGGTTGTAAAGCATTCCTTCAGAAAATCATGTATATACTGAGAAATTATGAAGACACTTTTGGGCAAAGAATCAACAGCAATAAGAGTCACTTCATGACTCCTTCTTGTGTCTTCTAGTACAATGTAAACATAATTCAACATATCACAGGCTTCACTAGAAAGGGTTCTCCAATTACTTACCTGGGATGCCCTATGTACATTGGAAGAAAAAGAATCATGTACTTCAATGATCTCATTTCTAAAGTCATAAGCAGAATCAGACGGTGGCAAGGTACGTTACTTTCCTATGGAGGCAGAAGAACTCTCATCAAACATGTGCTAGAATCCATGCCTATTCATTTAATCTCAGTTGTATCTCCTGCTAAGACAACTCTGAAGCAGATTGAAAGAATGTCACCCAATTTTTTTTGGGGAATGGAGAAGGACAAAAAGAAGTATCACTGGGCCTCATGGGCTAAAATGTCCTACCCTTTACATGAAGGAGTAATAGGCATCAAATCTATCCAAGATGTATGCTAAGCTATGGAGTACAAATAATGGTGGAATTTCAGAACCAAACAGTCCCTGTGGAGTAACTTCCTTATGGCTAAGTATTGCAAAAGGTCCCATCTTGTCTCCAAGAAAGGGGACACTGGACAATCTCAAACATGGAAGAAGCTAACCACTAACAGGAAGGAGGTGGAAAAACACATCTACTGGAGGTTACACTCAGGTAATACCAATTTTTGGTGGGATAATTAGCTTGGCACAGGCTCTCTTGCTAGCTGCAGAACATGAGGGGATAGACCTACTAAAATTATGGTATCTCATTTCTAGGACGCGGGTAAATAGGACCTCCAGAAACTCAATGCCAATTCCCCACCTCATATGATCCCATAGACTCTCCAAACCACCATTCACTACAACCCACAAATCCATGATAAATCTATCTGGTCAGTAAACACATCTAGCAATTTCACATGTGGCACAGCATGGGAAACAATTAGAGACAAGAAGGAAATCACTTTAACCAACAAAAAGACTTGGTAGAAAAATATCCCATTTAAATGGTCATTCTGTCTATGGAGAGCCTTGAGAAATAAACTCTCAACTGTTGATAGGATCATTGCTTTTGGCAATCTTATTCACAACATATGTGTTTGCTGCAGACAACCCCAATATGAATCTATAGACCATATCTTCAATAGGGGTCCTATTGCCAAAACTGTGTGGAAAACATTCTCAGGCATCACAGGGATAAATACTGATGACTTACCTCTCAATATGATCCTTATGAAATGGCGGATCCACAAAAGTAACAATGAACTACAATAACTACTGCTGGATGTTGTTCCTATCACTGTTTGCTGGAATCTTTGGAAATATAGATGCAGTGCTAACTATGGGGGGAAACCTCTTCTATGGTCAGAGTTACACTTGCACTTAAGTATGATATTCATCTCCTTCTCATAGCCAAATATCCATACATAAAATAGCCCCATAAGTGGATTGATCTGTACACTATGATAGAAGGGCTGAAACATACTACCACAATTGTCATGGTGAGCTGGCAAAGACCACAAACCAACTTTGTGAAAGTCAACACTCATGGTAGTGAACTTAGCAACCCTAGTAAGGTTGGAATAGGAGTCATAGTGAGAGATCACCAAAGCCAGTTCATTCATGTTATATCCAGTCCACTTTGTGAGGGCACTAACAACCTAGCAGAAACAGAAACAGCTATCATTGGTGTCAAATGGTGTATAGACAACGGATTCACTAAGATTCAGATTGAAACAGACTTCAATCTTCTCAAGCAATGGCCAGATAGTAAGACCACAGCCCCTGGAAGCTTGATGTTCATATGCAGGCACTCAGAGGTCTCTGTCAGCAATATGAAGCTTCAATTTCACATGTATACGAGAGGCCAATTACCCTGCAGACTCACTATCCAAACTAAGTCATAGACCTGCATCACAAACACATTTCTACAATCTGTGTGAGCTCCCCACCCACATTAGGAGTCAAATCCTTTTGGATAAAAATGCAACTCCCTCCTTTAGACACAAAAGGACCAGTAGGGTTCAGTTCCCTACTTAATTCATAGCCAATCAGTCCAATGGATATGGATAAAATTGATCTCCAAATGGGAGCAGGCCCAATTATCCAAATTACAATCACCATAAAGTGTATGTTTGACCTCATCAATGTCACCCTCATCCCAGCTCATTTACCAACAACCCTGAACCCACCTCACATAACTACTACAAAACCATCACAACCACAACCACTTCTAGCTTTCTCATGAACTTAAACATCTTCATCAAACCAGTATACAACCAGCACCCAGTGAACACAAGAACCTGGGTGTTGATCTTTCTATGATGACGTGCAAAACCAAGGCTGAGGAAAGATATATCTAGTTTTCTTTTTGCATAGTTGACCTAGGTTACTCTCTTTTTGGGGGCCCTATTTCCTTCTCAGGTGTATGGTGCCATCTTATAGGTCTAACTTTACTGATTGTACCGGATCCAATTAATTTCCACTTTTGGGCAATCAATTGGTTGTCCATCGTAGGATTGAAGGTAAAGTTCATGGCCTCCTC